TATCCAGATGGTGATCGTGTAAGATGAGGTGATAATGAAATACTTGGTTGTGTTATTCCTAGTGCCAGAAGGTTTTCTTGTGCTTGCAGCTAGAAGGAAGAGGTTTGTTGAAAATGTACGATTGACATGTAAAGAGAAAAAGTTAAATTGGTAGAAGTTATGTAATTCGATGCATATCCGGTAGAGAAGAAGGAAGGAAGAGTAGTTTTGCTTAGCGACAGATTCAATTGCTCGATATTTTTCCCTACACGTAATACTAACTGTAGCAGTGAAGAGAAGACCGGCCTGAAGTAGGGTGCTTGAGCTCCCCTGTAAGCGACTTGTTCAAAGTCGTTTCATGGCTGATAGTAGTGAGGTTTGAATGCAGAACTTTGTGAATAGGCGTCAAACAAGGTATGTACTCAGTCATGATGGCTTAAGTAGCGAAGAGAGTGGATAAACTCACATTTGGTGGTGATAAAGGAAGAGCTGGACTAGGCAACGGTTTTTCAATAAATTGTTGTGATTGTAATGGTTGATTTACGTTGGAAGCTGTGAAAATTGGTGTCCACATCTATTCAATGCAATAGATCAAATGATAAAATGAATAATTATAAGAATTGTATAGTTTTTTGTCCGTAATGAATACTTACAATAACTGGTGATGATTGTGTTTGAATTATTGGTTGTCGAATCGTTTCCACCTGAATAAAAGACAAAACATGAATATTTTTATAATGTATAGTATTTTCAATTTTGTTCTCTATCGATAAATTTCTAAATTTTTATTTCAATAACTCATTTTTTCTATTGAGATTAACTATCAACCAGAAATAATAAAAAAACGCCTACTACTATATCTGTTTGTGCTTGAATATTTCTTTCAGGAATTTGATTTTGTATAAATTGTGATTGTGAGTTTATTAAAGGTAGATATGCAATACTTGTTGGTGGTTGTTCCTAGAAACACCATTTAATTAAAACGAACAAATAAAAACTGTCATTGCCTAAGAAATGTGTGTATAAATTATTCTTACAAGAATTGGTGATGATAATGTTCCCATAGCAGAATCTTGTATTGGCTGTATCTAAATGTTACATTTTGTTCAAATTAATTTGAAGCTTTTTTTTTTATATAAAATTCATTCTTACGTACATCAACATTTGCTGTTAGTTCTACAGACGTTGGTGATTGTACGATATCAGGTTGAAATAGTTCTTCTGATATTGGAATTTGTTGTTCCTATTAGAAATCATTTGTAAAAAAAATATTTTATAAAATATATATGTTTATGCGTTTGGAATAATTCTACTTACTGTATATGTCATTGTAAGTTGATCTTCGGGAATATTAAAACGATTTATCTAAAATAGAAAAGATTCTTTTTTTTTTTGTTATTGTATTTTTCATAATGAATATTTCCTACATTGTATTTTGATGGTTTTCTTCGTTTAGTTATTAATTCCTAAAGTAAAATAATTGAATATATAAATCTATAGAATATAGATATTTCTTCTTTTTTTTTTGTTTACATGTTTAAATGGACTTCTCATGATTTTTGGTAAACCTGTTGGAACACAAGCAGCCTAAGATTTAGACAAAACAAAAATTTTTTATTAATAATTAATAAATATCTATCTTAACTATTTTAATTGATATATGATTTGGTGGATTTCCATCTTCTGTTCCAAGAAGAATAATTCTTATTAAATTAGCTTGTGTATTTGCAAGACCATTAATAGTTTTCCAACCAATAATAGATTTAATTTCAAGATAATATCCATGTGAATTATGACATTGAATTTTAAAACTATCAACATTACTTAAAGGATTAAGTGTTATTGAATCCATTGACATTGTTTTACTCAATACAATATCAATTATATATTCTTCTGTTGTTGGAAAATCCATACCATCTTGATTTGGATTAATTAAATTATTAGGTTTTATATGAATTGTTGGAGTTTTAATATCAACTCGTGTTACTTGTTTTGGATTTCCAAGTAAACGTAATTGAGGTGTACAATCAATCATTTCAGGAGTTTCATTACCTTCCTAGACAAAAATATTAAAATAATTTTAAAATTGATATTTATTAAATACACAATAAGTTGATTTATTCAAGTAAGAAAAAAAATTTGTTAGCACACTTCCTATGGAATTTTACATGTAAAATTAGTGTTATTAGTATCCTAGGCAAAGTTGTTTATGGGACAATTCCATATCATCAGTTCTAATTATCGCATGTAGAATAATAAATCCTTTCAATTACGAAATATAATCAAGTTTGTTGAGAAGTTATTACTAATTTTAATTACGAGTTAAATCCTTCTGATTTTTATCTTTGCTTCATTATACTTACATTCGATGGTGAATAAATTGGATTACACACACCCTACGAAATTAAATTCAATGATATTAATAATCAAAAATATATTATTTCACTTACAATATTCAATGTAATATGACTTGGTAAATATCCATCAGTAGTATGAATAATAGTAATAACTAACATTGAAACTAACATTGTTGGAAAACCATCTACAACTAAACCATCTTTTGTATTCGTAGAAGTAAATACACCTAACATTCCAGCATGTGAAGCTTCTACTTTAAAACTTTCTACATTAGCTGAATATGGTATAAATACATATTTCATTGTGAATGGTTGAGCAAAATGTATTTCAAATTCATAAGTATCACTTGGTGATGAAAATGTATAACCAGTACCACCAAAATTAATTTCCGGTCCAACTATTTGATGTGTCGGATTGCGTGATCGAATCATAGTTATATGTGAACCACCGATAATAAGAATTTGATCAAAACATTGACCAGGTGTACGAGAAAATGGTACTGGTTTATTTGGTGAAGGCATCTATGTAAAATTAAACAATATAAATGAAAAAAAACAAATCTTCATCATTTTCTATTTTAATAAAACACAAAAGAAGAACACTACTCCAAAATTTCATATTAATCAATATGATAATGAATAATTTATCAAATAACATACCGATCCAAATGAACCAGGTTGTCGACCGACAATTTCCTACAATAAAAAACAATTCGATTGTGTACATGTTGTCATCTGATTGATTTTGGTATAACTCACCGTCTAAAATAAATCAAAAAACAATAAATAGTATTATTTAAATATATTATTGAATATGACTTACATTTATATCGATTGTTCCTATCAGTGGTGATGATGGTATTCGATTATCTGTTGATGCACTTGGATCAATAATCTAGAATACAGAAATTATATT